TCTACTGTTTTATAGCATTTGGGGGCTACGGGTGACTCGTTTAAGATCATGGGCCCTTGGGCCAGGCAGAGCTGAGTTTAAATCCCTGCTGCACTACCGCCCAGCCCTATGACCTTGACACTTAAATCTTGAGCCTTTGCCTTTCTAGCCTGTGAAGAGGGGGTGATAACAGAACCTGCCTCCTAGAATTGTTGCTGGGTTAGATGAGAGAGTAGGTCCTGTCTGACAGATGGAAAAATAAAGGCTCAGAGAGGGGAGAGGACTTGCCCAGACCTCTGCTGTGTGGGCTCTTTCCCAGGGAGGACTCTGCCCTGTGGGTCTGCCCCCAGATGACCACTTCCAATCCGGCCCCGTCCTTGCCAGCTGTGTGTGGGGCCTGGAGTCGAGGACTCGCCTTCTCTCTGTCCACCTCCTCATGCTCAGAACGGGGATCGAAAGAGTGCCGGGACCCCCTATGGCCGCTGTGAGATGAAAACATGTTCCTCTGTGCGTGGTGCCAGCCAGCCCTTTGGAAGGGCTCAGTGGATGCGAGGGACTGTCATTAAAGGCAGAGCCAGGATCAAACTCTCTTGTCCTCCCACGGCCCCCACCCCTGGACAGAGGCCGATTAGGAGTTGAAAGGAGGTGAGCGAGTGTGGGAGTTCTGAGGAGCAGAACCTTCCCTTTCGGGCAGAGCAGGGTTTCTCCGCCTTGCACTATTGACATTTTGGGCCAGATAATTCTGCACTGTGGGGGCTCCCTCGTGCAGTGCCAGATGGTTGGCAGTGTTCTTGGTCTTGACCCTCGGGGTACCAGGAGCCTCCTCCCCCAAGTTGTGGCAACTACAGGTGTCTTCAGACATTGCCAAATGCCCCCTGGGGAGCAAAACTGCCCCTGTGGAGAACTACTGAGGTAATCAGGCAAAGTGCTTTTAGGTGCTTAACACGCCGGGCATGTACATATGGGATCCTACCGTTTACCTCGTGGTGGGGAGGCTGGGCCCTGGTTTGGGGGTGGGGGTAGGACTGGAATCCAGGGCTCCAGTGCCTGTAACCTCTCCACAGGTCCCTCAGAACAGGTGGGCAGAGCCAGGGGACAACCACACTGATGCCCAGGAGGCCTGTAGTGTTCTCCCTCCTCCCTCCAGTGTCCACCTGCCTGGCCATTGCCACACCCACAGCAGTGCCCACCTGAGTCTGGGCTTGCCTCTCCAGGAGCGCCATGGCGACCAAACTTGGTAGGTGCCTGATGCCATGAGCTACTGAAGTAAGACACCCTGGCTGGGCATTTAAAAATGTTGCCGAGGCCGAAGTTGCCTGGGCCCAGGATGCAGAGCTCACCATGGCCCTGCAGCAGAGGTGGGCCCCAGTGGACTGGCATACCGGCATGCCCACTGAGACCAAAAAGCTGCCATCAGAGGTGAATGATGGGTCTCCCTGCCACAGGGAGGCTGACAGCCATGAGACCGTGGTGGCAGCGCTGATGTAGGGCCAGGAGGGGGAGGGGAGGAGGGAGGATGGGAGACGGAGTCAGAGAGTCAGAGGTATGGAGCCAGGAACAGGGACATGAGACACAAGCAGACAGGGACAGAGGCAGGGTGGAGAGAAGCAGAGAACAAACAAGCTCCGAGGTAAGCAGAGACAGGAGACAGGGAGGTACTGACACAGGAAGTGTGAGCAAAAGACAAAGGCCGGACACTCAGAGAGAGAGAGAGAGGGAGAGATATGCAGAGTTAGAGACTCAGATCCGGACATGGGGGACAGGAGCTAGAAACAGAGAGCCGGAGGCAGGAGAGTGCTGGAGAGGAGCCGGAGCGCAGGGAGGGAGGAAGAGCTGGAGAGCCCAAGGTCTGACACAGATGCAGAGACCAGAAGACGGGGCAGTGAGAGGGCATTGGTGTCGGAAGGAGACGGGCCAAGAAGAGGCCCAGAGAGACCAGAGGACGTGCAGAGACGCCTTGGCCCTCTGGTCTCAGCCTCTGCTCTGTGACCCAGAAGCAGTGTGCACGTGTGCGTCTCTGCACACATGTACATTTATGTTTGTACTTGCATGTCACACTTCCAGTGGGTGCCCGTTCGTGTCTGAGCTCAGACAGTGGATGGTGCTTATGTCCACCAGTCCACTGACTCCCCAGTGGATGCCTGTGGGGTGCCAGGCTCCGCGGAAGGGCAGCGAGGCCTGGTGGACAGGGCCCTTGTGGAGCCTCTCGCTCACTGCTGGAGGACAGTACACAAACACACACGTGCCAGAGCTGTGAGGGGATTTGAAACAGAGTCCTGTGATGGGAAGCGACTCGGGGCTCCTCTCAATCTGGCGGTCTGGGAAGGCCACTCTGGGGGGGTGACTGATGAGGTGAAGCCTGTCAAAGAGCCAGCCAAGCAAGGGTCAGGAGCAGATCCTTCCAGAAGAGGGAAGAGTCGGTGCAAAAGCCCAGCGGGGAAAACCAGCTTGGCAAATTCAGGACCGAGAAAGAAGCCAGTGGGGCCACAGCAACTGGGGTGAGATGTGTGTCTGGGGTGAGACGGGGAGGCAGAGGCCAGATCACAGAGGACTTGGTAAAGCCAAGGGGGAGATTTTGGTTTGTGGGTGAAATGAGACCCAGAAGGTTGAAGCAGGAGAGTGCAATCAACAGCTTTGGGTTTGGAAAGGTCTTGGTGGGAAGTGGGGGTTGGGGACTCCTGCACAATCGGGGTGAGAGAGGGTGGTGGTTTGGGTGAGGGTGCGAAGAAGTGGGTGGATGCAAGCTGTGTTTTGGGGTAGGACTGACAGAATAGTGGGGGTGGTCGAGGAAAGGAAGGAGCCAGTGATGACTAGGTCTTCAGACTGAACATCCAAATGACTTGTTACGAGAATGAGGTAGACAGGGAGAAAGAGATCTGTGGGGAAATCATCACGAGGGCTGTTTTGAACGTGTAATATGCCCGTGAGCTTGTGTGTGTGCACATGCGTGAGGGCCCAGGTGTGTCCATGTGCATGTGGGGTTCAGATCAGTTCTGCTTGGCTGCATGGGACTCCTGGGCCCTCCATGTTCTGGCTCCTCACTTTCCCCCAGCCCCAGGAGCTGCCGTTGCCAGGTAGGAATTCCCCAATGGCCAGCTGGGGTGGAAGGGTGGGTTGGCCTGTGGGCACTACGGACATCTGGGCCTTCTACCCCAGGCCCAGGAGGCCTTGGTAGCCCCACCCGGCAGCGGCAGGCGGGCTCCAGGGCAGCTGCTGGCGATTAGCAGTGTTGATTACCTCGTGGCAATGCATCTGGGGTGAGGGCGATGAGCCCAGCCCCAGGGGATACCCTGCTCGCTGGCGTGCAGGGCTTTCTGGGGCTGAGAGAATGCAATGTGTCAGCCTCACTGCAGACACACGCGCGTGTGTGTGTGCATGTGCACGTGTGCATGTGTGTGTGTGCAAGTGGGGGTTTCTGTGAGAACCACCTGTGTCTGTATGGCTGCCTGTGTGTGTGCTAGAGGTCTGCAGGTCTTTGCTCGCTCATATGCATCATCGTGCCTGTGGGCACATGTGTGTATTCTGCCTGTATTTTGTGCATGCACACGTCTGAGTGTGCACACATGAGTGCACACCCAAGTACCTGCAGAGCTGTGCGTGTGAGTTCTGAGAATGAGGCACCTGGGTTTGAGTTTGTGTTTCAGTGTGTCTGTTTATGGTGAGGAGTGTCCTGTGTGTACATGTGTCTGTGTGACTATAAGTGTCTACGTATACACATGGAGCCTGCACACACATGTTGTGAGAGAGCGTATCTGACCGCACACTTCCGGAGGTATGTGCCTACATGTCAGAGGGCGGGAGGGGCATGAGCACATCTCTGGGCTGTGTCTGTGATGGTGTATCCAGGTTCAGCATGCACTCCGGGCTTGGCTGTTTTGGTGAGCACCTTGGGGTGCAGTAGGAAGGTATTTGGACTTCTCCTTCTCAGGTCTCAGGTCCCTCCAGTTCTGGGTCAGATCTCCCCTCCTGCCTGGAAGAGTCTGGGGTGTGAGTTGCCCAGGATGGCAGGGTGGTCAAGAACTTGTGCTGTGAGTCCAGGCTAAGCTGGGTGCGGGTCCCTGTACAACTACCCACTAACCACGTGATCCTGGGCGAGCTGCAGTTTTCCTGTGCTCCCAGTTTCCCCATCTGTAAAGTGGGGATAAGAATTGAATTCTCCCTGCTGGGGTGGTTTCGAGGGTAAAAGGAGCCTAACCTAGCTGTGTTGCCTATTATTTCCCAAGTGCCCACCACTGGGGCAGCCGCCTGTGGCCAGGCTGGGCCCATGCCTACCCACGCCTGGGGCCAGAGCACCCAGAAGGCTCCACCCCCTCCGCTTCCCGCATGCTGAGCTCAGCGATTCCCAGGCTCCACCACGGTCGTAGCCACATCTGGGCTGGCTCCATGCAGGGACCACAATGGAGGCGCCTTCATGGCCGTGGTTGGGGTTTCCGCTGACTCAGCGCCTCTGGCTCCGGAGGCGGGTTAGATGGGGCCATAGGGCCAGGTCTCCACCATGTTGTTTCTACTGGAAGCCCCCCCAAACCAGAGCACTCCAGTTGCTGTCTCTCACCCCCACACCCATTCCTCCCACTCATTGGCCTCTTGGACCTACTTCTTTGTAGCTCTTCCACTTTGCTGCTCCCAAATTTACTGCCTCCAGCGGGAGACCCTGGGGAGGGTCACCTTGATGACTCCCCTGCCTCTGGACAGACTGGATGCATGACCTGCTCTTTTCTCCTCAGAAGTCCAACCTCTCATGCACCCTCAGTTCCTCTTGCTTTCTTGCATCCGGACTATAAAGCAACGCCTCTCCATCGCTGGGTATCCGCTTGAATCCCAGCGTCACACCCCCCCCGCCCCGCCCCCACCTCCTGCGGGGTTTGCAATAATAATGACTATAGCAGTGAATATTGACCGAGCTCCTCTTTTGAGCCAGACCCTGCAGTAAGCATTTTTACAGACTCTGGCTCCTCTCCTGCTCACAACGACCCTGTATGGTATATCGGTCATTACTCTGCATTCCAGATGCGAAAACGGAGTCCGAGTTCAACAACATGTTTGAGCCACAGAACAGAGGACAGGGACTGGAGCCCTTCTCATCTCCTGGAGTAAGGGGGAATAAGAGAAAGAGGCCAGAGCAGAAGGGGTTAATACACACACATGCTTCCCTCAAGGGCCCGCACCCTCTCCCCAATTCAGACAAACCTAGAAACACTAACTGGAAGTCAGGCTCAGAAACAGGAAAAAGCTGACCGAGAAGGCTTGGGCAGCAGCCACGTCACGGGTGCCACAGAACTGGGGAGGAGGGTCTCCACCCCTTACCCCAGCCATCTGGAGGCCCAGCCTGGGAAGGGGAAGGGGGTGGCAGGGGGGAGGCCCTTCCAGCTCCAGGCCTGGCCCTTAAAGGGCCGGCCTCCCCGCCCACCCGCCTGCTCCCAGAGCCCCCTCGTAGGGCAGCTCTGGGCACGCAGGGTCCCGCCTTGCTGGCTGACTGGCTCACCTGGCGGGAACTGGGAGGGCGGGCCTGGGAGGACGGCCAGGCCAGGAACGGGGCTGTGAGTCTGTCCGCCGCCTGTGCCGATGCAGAGCCCCCTCCTGGCTCTCCCGCCCTCCTCCTGCCTGGCGGGCGGGTCCAGCTGTGTTCCATTAGCAGCCCTGGCTAGTCCCCAGCCCCCTGGAACCTCCCCCTTTTCCCCCACCCGGAGTGGAGTGGCCGGTAGTCCTGGCGGCAGGCTTGCGCGCCTCGCCGGGCAGCCTTCAGCCCCCAAAGCTTAGGACCTGTGACGCTGGGGGCCTGAGGACAACCAGAAGTGACCGAGGATTTCCTGTGGGCCTGAGGAACCCAAGCCCTGCTTCCTCTGGCTGGCTGCACTGAGCTGCCTGGATTACTAAGTGAGGTAGGGGGATCTCCAGCCACGATAAGTAGGGGGTGGAGTGGACTGCCTCCAGGCTCTGGGCTGAGTGTCCCTTCTGCCACACTTGCTGTGTGACCTGGGGTAAATGGCTTTCCCTCTCTGGATCTCAATCGCCTTCTCTGCAGGGGGATGAGCTCTAAACTCCATTCCAGTTCTGACTCTCCCTGCCCCCACATCTGTGCCTTTGTAATGGGATAGGGTCATCTCCTTGGAGGCTTCTTCCATCCCTCCCTGTAGGCCCTGCTCTGGCTGGGGACCGGGGAGTGGAAGCCAGAGATCAGGAGCAGGAAGGGGATACAAGCATATCAATGTTCACGCCTCCACATGCACTCACGTGTCTCACACAGTTGGCAGCTCTTCCGCTGACTGGCAGGAAGGAGAGGCCAGGATAGGGTATGAGAGATGGGATGTGCTCCCTCCCAGTGTGGGGGATGATGAAGAAGGTGGGGAAGGGTTTTGCCCCAAGAAGAAGGGGGTTAGGGTCCTATCTCCAAAATATTGAGGTGAGGGATTCCTTTCTGTTCTCATTCTCTATCCAGGGCTGAGGGAGGAGAAATAGAATTCCATTACAGCTGGAAGGAATGAGGTCAGACTTGCATAAGAACTTCCCAACAGGAAGGCCATTCATAGGCTAGCTATGCGCACGTGTGTGTGTGCAAGCTCTTGTGTCTGGGTATATTAGTGAACATGGATCTTTGTGAGTGTGCCTGTGTGCAGGTAGGCTTGTACGCATATATTGGCATATATGTGTCTGTGTGTATATGTGCCTGTACATAACTGTGTGTCGTGCTGACACATGCATGACTCCATGTGTGTGCGTGCAAGCTGCCTGTCTCAGGGGAGGCTGGATGATGTATGGCTGTGCTGGCTGCTTGCTGAGTCTGCATTGATTTATCTGGGTCCATCCATCCAGGGTTTAATAAAACTAAAAGATGAGCATCCATCAGCACCAGAGGTTGGCAACAGGGTCCTGAGCCCCGGTGACTGGCTGTCCCCCCAACTGTACCAGTGGGGGAAGCTTGCTTGGTGCACCTACCCCCTGTGATGCCTGCCAGGAGTGTCAGCCCAGTCGTCAGCCCCTGACCTTGTGGGTGCCTGGCAGGGCCTCCTGCCTGAGCTGGGCACAGCTAGCCAGGCACCAGGCTAGTGTCTATGAGTACAACACACAGGTTGATGAAATATTGATAAATGGCCTCTGCCTCAAGCCCCCTCACTCTCCCAATGGATCTGGCCTTGTAGACCCTCTAGGTCTCTCCTCAGCTCAGCAACTCTCCACCGGCACAGCCAGCTGCCGCTTGGGCTGTCAGTGCTCCAGCCCGCATTCTGCTCTGGCTGGTTGGTGTCCACGCCATGCTGGTGGTTAAATATTTTGAATGTCACCCAGGCCCAAATCGTAGCCGAAAGCCTGTGGTTGGGCCTCTAAGAGGTTCTGATGCCTGACCAGACCTCCTGCCACCCCAGTGCCAGGGCTTGGGCCCCGGGGGCTGGCTGCTGTTTGCCCACCTGTGGAATTGTGCTGTGGGAGCTCAGGAATCCACCTTCCTGGTTTCTGTGATTTTCAGGTGCTGTGGCTCTGGCCGACTTCTCTGAAGCAGGATGTGGGCACTGTGGGCTCCAGGCCTATGGCTGCTTGGTCTCTGGGCCACCTGCAGTCATGCGGCGAGTACAGGTGAGACGAGGCCGGAAGATCAGGGTGCCATATGCCTGTGAATGGCTCCCTGCGGTGCCAGGTCCTAGGCACCTATGTGACCATGTGCCTAGGCCATGTAGCCATTCATAGGAGAGTCTGGGGGCTGGACTCAGGGTGGCCTGCGGTGTTTGTCCATGTGAGCCTGTGTGACGTGAACAAGCACACGCGCACGTGTGTGTGTTTCTGTCTGCACATTTGTGTGTCTCTGGGCCTCTCTCCGCATCTGCACCTTTTCATGTGTCTGTGTGTGAGATGACAACCCCCTTCCCTAATACGCAAACCCACCCTGTGCACAGAGTGCTGGCGGGGCCAGTGGGCTAGGGAGGCGCAGGCGGTTAGCAATCCCCGCGAGAGAAAGCTGCATCCTGAACGAGGCCCAGGCCCCTCCAGTCCTTTTCAAGGTGGATAATCCATCCTCCAGCCAATGTGTTATTTTTCCGCCAAGGCTGGCCCTGGATCCCAGATAAAGGGCCCGCCTTGAGGCCCAGACACTGGATGAGACAGAGGGTGAAGCTTTCCAAGGCCCAAAGCCAGAGGAAGTTGACCGGGCAGCTTGCCCTGCCCTGCTGGGTGCCCTCTGGGCTCAATAGCTTAGTCGCCTAGCTGAGTAGAAATAGAACTCCTAGAACCCAAATCCAGCCAAAGGAGGCAGAAAAACCAGCGTGCCGATGCAGGAGGGGTAAGCCCCTGGGTGCATGTGACTGCCCGAGTTGTGTGTACATGTGTGTTTCTGCATGTGTACACATGTGCCTTGCTCTCCTTTCCCTCACCGTGTTCCCTGGGGGATGGAGTAGAGAATTTCAACATCTGTAAGGAATCTGGGCCCATTGCCATGGGCTGAGTCACCCACTGCTGCTGCTGCTGCAGTGATAATCTTTCTGGGCAGACCTGGGAGAGGAGGGGGACTCCAGTGGAGTCACCATGCCTAGGGATCCAGGATCCGTCCTCCAGCTGGGCAGCCGGGGAGTCTAAAGCCCAGCTTCTAGGAGCTGGATTCACTGTCTTGTCCCGGCTACCACATGTGCATCGGTGGCAAGGCCTTTGCGACTGTAGCCTCTCTCTCTGCTGTTGGGACAGCTCTCCCAACACTTCTGCTCAGTCAGGCCTATGGTGCCCACCCATCCCTGCAGGGTTCTGGGGACCTGAATTAAGCTATCCTCTTCTCCAGGGGCCTTTACCTCTTTAATAGACCCTACCTGGAGCCTCAAGGGCATGGTGGTTCTCTTGAGCTTGTGGTCCACTTAGGCCCTCAGTCTCTTTTCACCGTTTCACAAGGTGGTGGTCCAGGTGAAAAGTCAGTCCGTTCTCTGGCCTGCTTTTCTGCTTCGGATGTGAGAAATGTACCCCAACCCGTTGTTGAGAATACTTGTACCGGCTGCATATGGTGTCCCTGGTGGCACAAGCATCCCCAGCTCACGCATGCTCAGAGACACTCACGGGCTTGTGTGTAACACCAGTGTGCCTGACCCGACGTCTCCTTCCGCTGCAGTGCTCTGCCCCCAGCGGGGGTGCATGTCATGGAGGGAGCGCGTGCATGTACACATCTCCCCACTGAGTTCTAGGGTATCTCGGGGTTTCTTTTGTTCTCTCTGTTGCTGGCTTGGCCCCTGACGTGGGATCTTGGGGGATTCGGGTTCTAGGCATACTCATCCTGGTCTACTGTGGACTCCCTTCCCAGCCTTGGGCTAGGCCTCAGTCTCTGGGCCTCAGTCTTCCCATCTGTATGCTGGGGACTCTTCCTGGCTCCCAGGGTGGCCAGGGCCAGAAGGCAAGAGGTGACAGCTGGTCCAAAGCACGGCCTGGCTAAAGGTCCAGAGTGGGGACGGTAAACCCCTTAAAGAGCCCAGCTGTGCAGCTCCCTTAGGCTGAGCCCACCAAGTGCCCCGCCGCCGATGTTTCCTCCAGGTGAGCAGTGCCCACCTTCGCATCAGGAAGGACTCAAGTTGGAACACAGAAGTGACTTATCGGGCAACGTGACCGGTGAGTGCCCATCTCGTCCCGTTGTCCCCTCCCAACTTTTCCCCGGAGTGGCCTGTGCCTCTCCTCATCTGCCCAGCTGAGCTCTTCACCTGGTGTCTCCCCCGAAGGCTTCAACCTCATCCGCCGACTCAGCCTCATGAAGACTTCGGCCATCAAGAAGATCCGCAACCCCAACGGGCCCCTCATCCTGCGGCTGGGGGCGGCCCCACTCACCCAGCCCACACGGTAAAGGCCCCGAAGTGGCCGCTGGGGGTCAACACCGACCTCAGCCCTACTCGCCAGCAGCTCTGGATGTTAGGGTGCTGAGCCTACCAGCACCTACGGGTCATTCCATCCTGCCCAGTGGTCTCTGCTCCTGGGGCCTGCAAGGCGGGCACAGAGGAGGCGCCTGGCAGGCCCACATTGCGTCCCTCCTCTGTCTCTGGCTCACAGTGGTTGGGGACAGGCCTGCATCCTGTGGACACCATGAGGACCCCAGGACGGGGTGGGAGCCTGGCATGGGTCTGTGTGTGTGTGTGTGTGCTCGCACGCATGCTCTTATGCATGAAGTCCAAGTTCCCACAAGTGCCTGGGCATTCTGGCCCCTGCTTGCCTCTCCAGCTTCATCTCCCAAGATGAGTCTCTTTCTTTCTTGCTCCTCTGGTCCTACTGACCCCTTGTCATCTTTTTCCAGTGTCTCTTCTCCTATCCCCCTGACCTGCGCCCAGTTATTCTCCCCGGGACATCCTGAATTCCTGGGAAGCACTTGCCACCAGCGTTAGGAGATGGCGAAATATCACTCTGGGGATTCTTTGTTTATGGCTTGCTCCCCTAGCCCCTCCCTGTCAGACTCGAAGCCTCCATGATGAGCAGGCACCTTGTCTATGGTCCCTCTGTTGCCATCCCCAGCAGCCAGACCCCCACCTGGCACATAGTGGGCACTCAGGAGGTGTCTGTAGAGTGGATGGATGTGTGCAGCTGTGCGTTGGTTTGGATGTGTGGGCCTGCACTTCGCTTGTGTAGGTTCAACTGTCCC